CTCTTCTGGCCTCCATGGGCACCAGGCATGTGTGCACAGATGTACACACAGGTAAAACACCCATGCATATAAGATACAAATAATTAGGAAGAATATCAATTATCTTTCATAATTTTTGCTGCTTTCTAATAATGACTGTATCAGAAATTAGAAACAGCTGGGAATGATTTCATAGCCCTGGAGGTAGAGGTGATTAGGAAATCAAGATCAACTTCATAGAGAGTTTGCAATTAGCCTGGGTTACACAAAACCCTGTCTTAGAAAACAAAACAAAATAAAATTATCTAACTAAAAGCACCCCTCACTGATATGGGGGATGTCTGAGAGATGACTCAAAACAAAATAAAATTATCCAACTAAAAGCACCCCTCACTGACATGGGGGATGTCTGACAGGTGACTACGTACTCTTCCTTTCTCCACAAGGTTTGTTATCATAACGATGACTTCCACATTATGCTCCCATATCATTCTCCAGAAGTCTTCTGCTGTGGACTTCAGTGGACCCTGGGCAGCAATGTAAGCCTTTGGTCTATTGTAGCCCTGAAGAAACAAATCACAAGTATGTCTTGTTACCTGAATTACACACTTGTTTCAAACTGTGGAATCTAAGGTCAACACCCCTTTTCAACATTAGAAAACCACACAAAGAACTTGCAGAGCTGTAGAACAATGGTAGCACTAGTACAGTTAGTAATTTCCCTTCAGCTTTAATTTTTGTAAAACTTAATGAGTTCTCTTGAGAAAACCATAGACTTGCATCTCTGCACTGGAGGCATTTGGTCCAAAACTATTTACTATGCTTAAAGTCTAGTCCTTAATTGTGTTATTTTGAAATGTTTTTTATGCAATAAGGCTCAGTTGTCTATAGTTAAGAAAGTGCTAGAATTATGACCTCTTTCTTCTCCTTGGGGACATTGAACCTGGCTAATCATTGCCAGATGTCTCTTAAGAAGCAAGCAGTGTTGTACTGATGCTTTGCAAACACAGCTCTAATTTATCATCTGGACAAAATGGAAGCATCAGTCCTGAGTTGGTGATGAGGAAACTGAAGCTCAGAGGAGTTAAATGACTTCCCAGTGTCATTACTAGTCAGTGGCAGAGCTGGAATTCCAAACAGTTAAATGACTTCCTAGTATCATTGCTAGTCAGTGGCAAAGCTGGAATTCCAAACAGTTAAATGACTTCCCAGTGTCATTACTAGTGAGTGGCAGAGCTGAAATTCCAAACAGTTAAATGACTTCCCAGTATCACTGCTAGTCAGTGGCAGAGCTGGAATTCCAAGCAGTTAAATGACTTCCTAGTATCATTGCTAGTCAGTGGCAGAGCTGGAATTCCAAACAGTTAAATGACTTCCTAGTATCATTGCTAGTCAGTGGCAGGGTTGGAATTCCAAGCAGTTATACCTCCCAAGCTCATGTCCTTTTAATGCATAAATGGCTTCCCCTGGAAGGAGGAAGTGGATGCTGATAATGAATACACTCTACAGGTAGAAACTCACTTCTCTGAACTCAGTGTTGAATGTAGCACTAACATGAAGACTACTGGACTGTGAAACTAGAAACAGAGTTGTGCTGACATTCAGTTGACCACATTGGGGAAGTTAAGTAAGTTCTGGTATCATCTGCCATTCCGAAGAATGCAACAAAGCTGATGTCATGAGTTTGCTTAAAATCATTGAGGCTGAATACTATCTTCCCAATATCATTTGCCTGTTGTTTAGTACTATCATGGGGAATTCTCAGTTTAGATTTATTGATCATCTGTGATATATATAACATTGTGTCAGGAACTATGAGAAAATTCACACTAAGTACTAGACCTATACCCTTACACTTATGGAGTTATCAGTCTATCTTAATATCTATATATTCTGTCTGGAATGTATGTTTTAGCCCGAATTCCCTCCCTCTTAAAAAATAACGCAAGGAGAACAGTATTATTTAATCTAAAGTCCTGTAGCCACAGGCTCTCCTACAATTTATTCAGTTTGTTTGCATTTTCATTACATCAGAAAACATTTATTACACAATGGTATATGTATACCATTGTGGCATGAAAAAAATTCAGGGCTTTATGAAATTTCCATACAATTTTAAGTCAAATATGCTTACGTCAACATAATTGGCATTGATGTAGTCTGTCACTTTCCCGTCTTTTTCAGCAAGTTGTGTAAGCTTAACCCTGCTATGATCATCTGGAACAACAAAAAAGAATATATTTCACTAAAGAACAGGCTTCTCTTCATAAGAAAGATCTTCTATATTTGCATCATAATTTTATTGTAAAATTAAACTCAACAGAAAATAATATACTTTAGTAAGTATGGGCCATACTGATTGGACAAATGTAACCAAGACAAATGGACAAGCATCTCAGATTTATAAGTTTCTCATGCAGTGAGGCCAGAACACCCAGAAAGTGATGTCCAGGTGCCAAGAGGGAGGTTCCAGTGCCAAGAGAAATGTGAAGTAGACACTATATTGATATAAGGAAGTGGTTCTCAACCTGTGGGTCACAGTCCCATAGGGTCGCATATCAGATATTTACATTATGATTCCTAACAGTAGCAAAATTACAGTTATGAAGTAGCAATAACCAGTTTTCAAAGAGGCTGGAATCTGAAGCTTGCATCTTAGATGGATTTTAAACAATGGTCCAGGGACTAGGAACAGGGGCATGCCACATGAGAGAAGAGTGAAGGAAGTCAGCTTCACAGAGCTGAGGAAGAGTGGCAGCAGACACTGAACAGGAAGCTGGAAGAGGAAGAGGCAACAGCGAGGGAAGCAGAGGGACCCCTGGGAGTTTCTGGGAAGGGTTTGAAACAAGGACAAGGAAGTAAATGCTGATCAAATGGAGGCAATTCCATTAAGACACCTGACACCAATCTTCTCTGACAGTAGCAGGCTGCATGAGTACAGACACATGTAAATAGATTTATGGCTCCTGAAAGATGAGTCTGGATGCCAGACTGACCTGTTTCGATATTCTGTTCCTAACACATCTTCCTAAATTGTTTTTTCTTCATTTCTAAACTAGAGTTGTCAGTACCTGTTTTTCCAAGTTGTTTAGTGTGTGGGGGAGGAAATAGTAGTGTTTACAATGTTGTTTAATGTGTGTGGGAGGAAATAGTACTGTTTACAATGTTGTTTAGTGTATGTGGGAGGGAAATAGTACTGTTTACAATGTTGTTTAGTGTGTGGGGGAGGAAATAG